CTGTTCTCTGACAACGCTCTGGCTCATTATTGCTAACCTGGATAGCTTATTGTTAGCCACAGCTTGGGAGACTAAGGCCACCCTACCAATGGATGTGCACCAGCTTTTCCTTTGTGTCTTCTGGTTCTATATGCTTAAAATGACCGTTACACCCTCCAGGTGTACCAGTGCACACATAAAAAATCAACCACCATCGGTGACCCATAAAGATGAAGAAAGGTGCAACAGTGGTTAGAGAGCCTAAATCAATGCTTGTATCTCACAGAAGAAATAAATACAATTTCAAAGCCTTGTGAGGGCAGGGGGGGGGTTTTGGCTGGAATTGGTCTTTAAAGTGTATTTCCCCTTTCGCAGCCAAATTTACCATTGTACTTGTATGGGTGGAGTTAATTTTTACCATATTTAACCCTGTCTGTAGTGTATCTCCATTGCATTATCACTTACAGGGGCATCAGTAGCTTTTTGCCCCCTGAGGCGGCGGGATGGGAAGTGGGGCACTACATCCCGCAAATATCCTGTTAACCAGTAACATCATTGGTTGCGAGAAGCTGGGCAGGACCCTGTGGCCATGCTGCCCTGCCTGCTGCCCCCCACAAGATGCTGCCTGAGGAAAAAGCCTCAGGCTGCCTCATTATAAAGATGGCCCTGAGCAGATGTAAACTATATTTGAACACTGTATATTCTAACAAAGGGTTAAAGAGCCTGATACTTATGTTCTGCATTGTATGTTAATAAGGGAAACTCAGTCTGTCCTCACTTTGTTCCCCTCCACTTTCACTTTGAAATTGTTAACAATATTTTGCAGTCTGCCCAAAGGCCTGCTCCAGAGATTATAACTAGAAAGTTCAGAAATCTTTAAAAATATATATTTTTAGATATGCTGTGTGAATGGGAACACATAACAAACATACAGAGGGGAATTTATCAAAACCGGAGTAGACAAATTCTGGAGCAGCTGTACACGGCAACAAATCAGCTTCTCTTTTTCATTTTCAAAGCTTAACTCAACAAACTGAAGAGAGAAGCTGATTGGTTACTATGGGCAACTGCTCCAAATTCTGTCTTCTCCAGTTTTAAAATAAATAGTGTTTTTTCCCCCAAATTTGACTGCAAAAGTGGAAATATACTTAAACTTTTCCGCCCAGCATATGGCTGTTCACACGTCAGGCTCCTTTGCTTCTTGGCTCAATCTATTGGCAGCAATGCCATGCGAATGCATTCGCCAAGCATATGGCAGGGCGGAAGAGTCTTAAATAGACCCCTATGTGTTTGAATAGCAGAATTATACTGAACAAAATGTCCTCCATAGCCTTAAAGTTTGAGCTCTACATTGTTCTGTACTGTGCTTTGACTTGATTTTGCCTTCTCACCTCTGAGGTTTGCAGCTGGGGGGAAATCTGTAAGTGCGTAAGAGCTGTACAGCAAAATTTTAACACATTGATGATTGTTTTGTTGAACCAATAACTGTGAAAGTAACGTGGCAGTAATTGCACTCTCTCTCTGCTTTAAGTGTCAGATGGTGCTCTAGCCTGCTACATTTCTCCACCTCTTAATGTTATAAATGCCGCAGTTTAATGCTGTCTGGACTGAGTTCTGGGAGGCGAGTGTTAATGCAAAGGACATGTCAGTAGTCATCGTGTCTCCCAGGTATCGCTTGAGCGAGAATTCAATGATCTATGCGTGAGTGAACAACAGCCAGCACAGAAAAGCCTCCAAACAGACTGAAACATACTTTTGTGCATATTTTATGAAGAGCTAACAAAGTAACTGTGAAAATGAATGTCTGGGTTACAAGAATGCGTGGTGTCGCAGTTTCTGTTGAATACATGTGTTTCTAATTGTGTTTTCACTTTTTTTTAATCTTAGGAACATTTACTATTTGAATGTCAAATAAAAATAGAAACATTCTGCAAAAACGCTGGTCCAATGATTGCAGATCTGTAAATATAGATGGGAGAATAATGGAAGATTCATTCTGCAGGTGGTTTGAGGAGATCATTGAAGCTCTGCAACATGGCCACTGATCTGGGCCTTGGACGGTTATTGAGTGAATTGGGTTTAAGGGCCAAGGGAACCGGTCTTTGAAAGTGATGCGTCCAATTTGAACATAGCTTGCAGCAATCAAGCCATGTAGGGCCCATAATGAGGACTTCTGTCATTTTACTGCATGCAAGGATAGTTCATCTTGTTGAAAAATATATATGTGGACACAGGTGCTTGTTGTTTTCTTTTATGTGGGTAAAATTAGAAATATTTCACTGCTTGAGTGCCATTAACACATGAGCCATTAACACATGTCAGCTGAGTCTAAGAGAAGATCTTAGTGGCTTCTGGTGAGACTTCTACCACCAACCTTGATTTCGGAAGCTTAGCAGAACTAAATATATGGGCTTGCTTATGGGCACCTGCCCTTCACACCTATATGAGCTTATTGGACATCTCCTTCCAAAACCCCGGGTTGTTAATTTGCACAATGTTTCGGCGGGCGTCTGTGGGAAGTTATATCCATTCAACCAAAAAAAAGGTTTGAGGTCAGGTGCTGGATGAGAAGACTTGGTTTGCCTCCAGCATATTCCAGTTTGTGTAAGAGGTGTTCTGTTGGGTTGGGTTGAGGGCTCTGTGCAGGCCAATCAAATATCTCCACACCAAACCCATCAAACCACGTCTTTATGGAGCTGGCTTTGTACACAGGGTCACAATCATACCGAAACAGAAAAGAGGCTTCCCCAAATCTATGCCACAAGGTTGAAATGCACATTTGTCTAAAATGTCTTTGTATGCTGACATTGCCTTTCTCTGGAAATACTTGAACTCGATAATTTGTTGGGTTGTCTACATACACGTGGCCATATAGGTAGATGCCCAATATCATGTTTTACAGTAAACCTGGAACAAATGTGGGCAATTTAATCTAAGCATTTGATGAACACATATATTGGAAGAGGTTGCACTAAAATTATCAGTAGGCCCAGACGCATTTATATGTATAGGCCAAAATATTTTGTATTACTTTTGCATAGCCATTTTTTCTTTAGTTTTGGATAGAATGGGGGAGTATTAGGACCCTTGTCAGTTTTGTACTGCTTCCTGGAGCTCTACTAGAGATATTTCACTTCACTTCCGGCTCTGTTGACAACATTTTCATCATAAAGGGAAAGGGAAAATCTGCAACAGCAACACTAACAGGAATAAACTTTTTCTTTTCTTGTTTTTAGTAAAGGGAAAGCTAGAATCCTTGTCACTTATATTGTTGTCTGCATACCAATTGAACATTTTTCCCCACTTCCTGTCTGCTGAAGACCTTCTCATCAATCTAGAAAAAGAGAGGACATCTATTGGAGCACAGCTTAGCAGTGAAACCCAAGAAGGGCATCTAAACCTTCCCCACTCCAACCAAAACAAAATAAAATAAATCTTCAGCTGGGTTTAAACTTTATTAATTATATGGCCTTGCCCCTCCCCAAATTAAACTTGTATCCTTTTTATTATTTCAGTAAGGCTATAGTTATTGTTAGATGTTTAGGACAAAATCTGCCCAGAAAATTGTGCATGAAGATCTCTGACATTCACATCCAGATTAGGGTACCTATAAGTTAAAAATAACACTAGTATTCTTATTGACTGAAATATAAAACAAACAGATCACCAAATGTAACCTCAAGATGTACAAATATGCAAACAGTAGGCAGTTGCTACATTTAAACAATTAAAGAAAGAAAGAACCTCAGGCTTACCTGCCATCACACCAAACATTGCCTCAAACAAGCAGCTTTGTCAGGAGCTTTTGGACACATTGAGGACTCAAGAAGAAACCCTCTCCTTTCTATATTTAGATACATTTTAATAACTATATGAATATCAATTCGGTCATCCAATTACCTTTTTATGACAGTTTAGGGATGAGTCAAGCCGAAATATAACACATGGAAATGAGTCACGTACTGCACATTGTGACATCTCCGAGGATCTACCTAATAATTATCTCTGCAGCCATATTCTAAAAGTTAAAAGTACACTCTAGCCAAGAAATTCTGCAAGCTCGACTCCAACATGTCCTTTTTTTGTCTTGAATACAGTCAGGAAGGGTTAGGACCTTTGTCAGTTTTTCATTCTGTCTGTGTCCACGCTGGGCAAATTTCCCCTCACTTCCACGCTGGATGGGTCATGAGGTTGTAATGGTTGGAGGACCTTGGACCGCAGGGAGCAGGGAAGCGGAGGGGAGAGGAAAGGAAGGAGAACTAGACACAAAGGAAGAGGACAGGAGAAGTGAGAGCATTGGAATGGAGGACAAGAATAAGGAAGAGGAGAAAAGGAAAAGAGTTGGGAGAGGAGATAAGAAGAGAGGATAGGATAAGAGAGTGGGGAGAGAGCTGCTGGAGATGAGAGAGGGAGGAAAAAAGAGGAGAGATTAGAGGAGAGGGAAGAGGAGAGTGTAAGAAAGGGGAAGAGAAAGGAGAAGAGGAGAGGAAAGGTAGGGTAGGAGAGGAGAAGACAGGTGAGGAGACAGTGGAGAAAAGGGAAGAGAAGAGTGGAAGAAAGGAGAGAAGAGGAGAGAAAAGGGAGGGTAGGAAAGGAGAAGACAGGTAATGAGAAAATGGAGAGAGAGGGGTGGAAGAGAGATAAGGGAAAGGAAAGAAGAGGAAAGGGAGGGGAGGAGTAGGGAGGAAAGAGGCGAGAGCGTGGAAGAGGAGAGCCTTCTACTGGACCAGAGCAATGGATGAACTTGATGGACTTCTGTCTTTTTCTTAACCTTAATAGCGATGTACAGTATGTGACCATATATGAAAAGAAGGAAAATTGTATGATTTTACTGGACCATGTATGGTTCTTTTTAATACATAACCCAAATTTACTTTTAATTTCCTAGCTAAATTCAGTTTTGAACCATTACATTTTACTCTTCCAAGGCTGCCACCATCTCTTTATCAGCCTGATTTGTTTGGCAATATTCTCATGCATGAAGTCAATTTGGTATCGAACATTTTGGAAGTGCGTCTTACCTCTGAATTGTATCCCCGGGCCGCAGGATTCGGTGCCCCCAGCTATGCCCTGCCTCACGTAGTCTGGCACAAGGACGCATTGACTCCAGTCTTGAGGTTTCCACCTGTGAATCATTACAAGGCAGGTCTGTGAGAACAGGTGTGCAGACGTGTAATTGTGTTTTCCTCCTGATTGACTTGCAGATTGGGAAATTCATTCTCATCAAATCGGTGGACTTTTGCCGCTAAGGCAGCGTGGCTAATTCTCATTTAATTGTGAAAAATAAACCAGCTGCATGCATGCGGGAGAAATAGATTTTGCAGCGCTGAAGATCGAAAGTTAATTACATTTTTCTTGTCATTCATTTTCCAAAATATGGTATTATTGCTCTCTCCCTGCTGGGTGGAAAGTTGATTTTTCCCTCTATGGTGACGCTAATGTAGTGAAGACATATTGAGGCTGTTTTCTCCCCACTAATTTAGACATCCAAGATTTCCTTTTTAGAACATGCAATGTTAATCATGCCTACAAATTCAGAATTCTGTTATCTTGTATCATTTAAAGGGACAGTCTGCCCTTTAAGTGAAATAACCATCATTTTAAAGGGCAAGTATAGCATATTGTCATAGGTCACATATTTTGAGTTATTAATGCAGGGTTTACCAGAAGGAAATACATAGTGGAATGTTCACATTTATAAATACTTGCTGTTTCATATGTTTGATATTGTAATAATGTACAGATGTATATATTACAGGGGTGCCCACAATTATTGTGTTAAGATCTACTTTTCAAAAGTCGAGCTACATGAGATCTACCTGTGTGCACAGCTAAATAAATATACCAAAATGGAATAAAGGGGCCACCAATCACACCCTTCCTGATCTAACAGCATCAGCTTTGAGAGCTACTGGTAGATCACGATCTACCTAATGGGCACCCCTGATATATTACTACAAGAGGCAGGGCAACTTACGTAGATCCTATTATTACTTTGCCTAACTACTTTATGACCATTAATATAATAGACTGATTTGCTGCATAATTTGAACATTTACAAAAAAATTGGGAAAAGTATTGTTTATTTTATCAAATGATGTGAAAAGGGAATTACTGGTCACTTTGAATATTCAATCACATACTACTACACCACTATATTCAATACTAACAAAAGAAAAGTGTTGACTTTAGATACAGTATGTCTTGGCGTTGACGGACACTGGCAACCAGGGCACGTGCTCCAGGTCTTCTACTGAGTGGCCTAGGTTTTATGCTGAGTGTGCACACAAAAATACAGGCACCAAAGACTGTGGTTATTATGTGTGGAATGTAAGTGGCAAGTGCTGCTGTGCTCTGTATAGCTTAGCCCGTCACATTGAGATCTTTGTGATCTCTCCACAGGCTCAGTGACTAAAACCACAGCACCCGCTGTTGCAGTTTCAGTGTTTTGCTCTGGGTGATTAGGGTGTGCCCAGGCACACCTGGCACACCACCTGTGCAGGCCTATGGCCCCAGGTCTTCTATTGAGTGCCCCTGGTCTTCTTCCCAATGGGCCAGGTCTTCTAATGAATAACCCATGTCTTCTATTGAGTGCCCTTGGTCTTCTACTGAGTGCCCCAGGTCTTCTACTGAGTGCCCCAGGTCTTCTACTGAGTGCCCCAGGTCTTCTACTGAGTGCCCCAGGTCTTCTACTGAGTGCCCCAGTTCTTCCACTGAGTACCCTAGGTCTTCTATTGAGTAGCCCCAGGTCTTCTACTGAGTGCCTCAGGTCTTCTACTGAGTGCCTCAGGTCTTCTACTGAGTGCCCAAGGTCTTCTACTTAGTGCCCCAGGACTTCTATTGAGTGCCACAGGTCTTCTACTTAGTGCCCCAGGTCTTCTATTAAGTGCCACAGGTCTACTGGGTGCACCTCCAAGTCTCCTTTGAGATATGGAGATGACACATTTCATGCATAATCATTTTGGAACATTGTGTATTTTATCTACTATTTGATTCATCTATTAATATTGATTTTTTTTCCTAAGCAATGAGAATACTTTTGATTTTATTTCAGTCATGCCCTCATAATGTGACATTAGAGTTTTTAGACCAATTCATTTTTGTTTAGTTAAAAAGATAATGTATTGTTTAGACTGATCCAAACCAGTCAACACTGTATCCTACCAGCCCCTCAACATATCAATATGCATGTCCCTGGTTTATTAGTACCCTAGAAACACCCCTGACTTCCATATTCTGTGCTGACCTAGATATATTTTTTCATGTCTTTATTTCCTAGTAAGTGCATTCTCTGAAATATTGACAAAAGCAACAAACTAGCCGCCTTTGCTTCCATACCATTGACAGAAACACTTAACTGTGCGGTTTGCTGTGCTTTTATATCCTTCCTTTCAACACATGTTTTCCCTTTCCTTGAAGAAGATAAAATGCCAAATAGTTCCTCAGGTGTGACTGTTTCTTAAAAATGTTAGATCAGTTTCGATGTCTGAAAACTCCCGGGATGGAGATGAGAATCAGACTCTTCACTATATGTCAGTTCCGTCACCTTCCGACATCAGAGCCCCTCTGTACTAAAATACCTTTTTATTCCTGCCATTTAAGATGAAGTAGGACTTGAATCACAGATATTGATCAGCCGGTAGACACATTTATAGCACAGTCACATAATAATATGCAGCCAGCTGGTCCCCTGCTACTACTGCTCCTATCTTTGTAAAGCAATCACCATGAGAACAAACCCAAATATATTCCAAAATCTATACATCGGAAAGTAGCTTTATGTTTTTTTTCTTCTTCAAAAGCAAATTAGAATCAATTGTAATCCCCGGCTACAAGTACGAGATGGCATTTTAATGTCTGTGTATTCCTGTGGCTTGTGTGCAGCAGCTTATGACAGTACAGAGGTGAGATAAATATAGAAGCGGGCTAAGTGAAATGTATCTTCAGCTTATCTGCCTGAGCAATCGGTTGGTGACTTTGCCTAACATGGCGCCACGGTCAGCAAGCAGAAAGGAAGACAGCGGCCAGTGGGCCCCCACCAGGTAAGCTTTTTATTTTTGCACGAAGGGATTTGGAAAAAAGTTAGGTCCATGGACCAGCCAACTTAAAGTGATGCTAAACTCTGGAGTTAAATCTTAAAAATACATTCAAGCACCTTAACTATTAACAAAAATGTATCTTATTTGTGTATCACTTGTCTGTAGATCCTCAAATCATCTCTGAATTGGTGCTGACACTGTCCTTCCTTCTGGAGGGTGGCTACTTTTCTTCCCCATGGTACCTGTGTGTGTTGTAAAGTAGTCACCGCTCCATGCTCACTCCCGTGATAGATTTCAAACTCATGTTTAGTTTACTAATTTGTATTGAGATTGTAGTCCATCAGGGGAGTGAGCTTGGAGCGGTGACTACTTTACAACACACACAGGGACCATGGGGAAGAAAAGTAGCCACCCTCCAGAAGGAAGGACAGTGTCAGCACCAATTCAGAGATGATTGGATGATCAACAGCCGAGTGATACACAAATAAGATACATTTTTGTTAATAGTTTAGGTACTTGAATCTATTTTTAAGATTTAACTCTTGAGTTTCGTGTCACTTTAAGTGGGAATATATTGGTAGCATTCCAAACATTAATAAACAGTCCAATGAAAACTAAAGATTTCACCTTCTTGAAGATGCTGAAGTGTGGAACCGCCAATGGTTTCTTAAACAATAAACATCCCTGTCTGCTGTACTTTTGCTTTTTCAGATTCAATAAGCTTTACTGAATCCACAACGTTTCTACTCTCCTAGTTAATCTTTTAATTTATATTTTGTAAAATACTTCAGGATTAGTAGGATCACCCCTAGGTGGGCTAGAACAAAAATGGTGGTGTTAGATTTTTCTCTTAAAGACCCTAAAATATATGTTCTTGGACAATTAGCATCTGTATGAAATTCTAAGTTTACTTTCCAAAAGTTATCCTTGAAATGATCCCCCCCACCATCACCAAGGTCTTACACTCACCTGTCCACGCTTTTGTTAGTTTCACGCTATGTGGAGCTATGGGAGCCACCCAAGGTACTGCTGAAAACTCTCCTGGCCAGTCCTGAAGTCTCCTGTGCATGTGCATACAAATCCCATCCATTCACCATAGGATTGGATAGGATTTCAAGACACGGCTAGGAGAGTTTTAAGAGTTACAGAATCAACGGAAGGAGGAAATTCCTTTGTGGAGCGGTGACTGACAGTCACTGCACTCTGCAGGGAGGAGACCGTGAGTTGAGCTATCAGCAGTCACATGATCACTCAGCTCTCAGTATAGAGCCAGCTGCAGTGTCCCATGCTGGCTTTAAGTATTGGAAAGAGTATATTGTACTCGCCCAATACTTCTCCTTTAAAGTGACATTAAACCCTCAGATTTTTTTAACATAAACCAATACTGTAATGTGTGCCTTACTGTAATCCATGGTAGTTTCCCTTCTCTTTGCTGCTCTTCCTTTTAAATATGTATCTCTTCTCATGCTGGGCAGAACTTCTGTTTTGCAGCAGACTGCCTTGTCTCAGGAATGGATACATGGTGTCTGTGTATACGTTTGTATAGGCTTTAAACCTGAGCCAGCACTACAGGAAGAGGCCCTGAGCTGAAAAGGGAAGTTGTCCCCAGCATGAGAAGAGATACAGATTTAAAAGGAAGAGCAGCAAAGAGAAGGGAAACAACCATGGATTACAGTAAGGCGCACATTATAGTATTGGTTTATGTTAAAAAATCTGAGGGTTTAATGTCACTTTAAGGCCAAATGTAATGTTGTGCAATACCCCATTATGGCCACTAGATGGAGGTGAAGAGTAAAGGAAACACTTATGTCCTATATTACATTACATTCGACCTGAAAAGAACATATACTAAGATGGTTCATTTTTGCATCTATTTGCACAGAACGAACATTCACAGAGATTTGCAGCCCAAATGGCTCAGCAAATTCTTTACACATAGACCCCATAGTGACATTCACTAATGTCAGAGGTACCAGCAATTCAAATCATTGGTAGCTCCTTATGACTTTTTTTCTGTTTGCAAAAGTGTATCATGGGCAGAAAATCTTCTTAAATTCAGAAATCAGAACGCTGACCTAAACTGTGACTAAAATCGTATGTGCTTTGGCGGGTTTAAATTAATTACTTCCTCTGCCTCTTCCCATTCAAGCCTTTGATCAAAGCTCAGAAGAAATTGTAAAAGGTTTTCACTATTACCGCCTCATACGGAGCAGTGTCAGGCCTCCTCATCTCCAAACACTGAGCCAGTTCTTAAATAAAGCTTCTAAATCCCGATCCCTATCAGTGTGTGCCATAAAACTGTATGACAGCTATATCAGTAAGCGGAGACGGGGAGACAACGTTTCAATTTGTGTGCTCGGATTTAGTATTGTATCGTATCTAAATTATTCATTATCAGGGCTTGAAAAATTTTAGGGTGTCTTACCAGTCAGTCAAAAATGTCACCAGTCAGCATGAGCGGACTTTAGCCTTGCAATTTATGTTAACATTTTTTAGGGACACATAGAGCTTTAATTTGGAGGTATATAATCACCACGGGGGGGGGGTTATTTTTTATTATATAATGAAAAAAGTACCGTAAATTTCGAAAATAAATGTTTTCCCTACGTTATGTTACAAAACATTTTATTCTTACCCATATTTTTGGTAAAATATAAAAGATGGGGTCACGTCAGGTAAATAGACACCAAACATGTCAAGCCTTAAAATTGCGCGCGCCCGCAAAATCACAAAAAAACAACCACAACGAAAATTGGCCATAGGTGACACTTTAAACGCTTTTACTGCTCATCAGTGTTATCAGTGATTAATGGCCCTAAAATGAGTGCTCGCACTCCGACGTTTGCGGTGATATGTAACATATGCGGCACAATAGGCGCAATCATTCATTCAATCAATTTTTGCACGTGGGCGCACCCGACGCACTTTTGAGTGTGTATGTGGGGGTCGGGTGGCTTTTTATACTTAACTTTATTGCTATCACATAGGGGGATAAGAAGCACCCTATGTGATAGCCAATTTACCTCCAATTTATCTCCAAGACCCCTAACGTCAGCTAGGGACCCCCAGAAAAGCTGATGAAGCAAAGATCTGCTTCACCAGCTTCTCCCCAGCCTCTGAAGCTGGAGAATGGCAGCAGAATGTGGAAGTGATGTAATGTACATCAGTTCCTGCATATGGGGACAGGAGAGGAGATCAGACGGAGATGTGTACTGCTCTCCTTTTGATCTCTTGTCACAGAGCTGCCGTGCCGGTCCCAGCCGCACTGGGCACAGCGGATCTCGGGACCGGCAACGGCAGTGACAGCTGCTGCTAATACAAGCGATCGGGCGTCTCTAGAGACGCCCGATCGCTTGAATGTAAAGCTCCCGGCCAGCCGTGTAATTACAAGCTATTCGTCGGGCTCCACCATCCTCTCGTCACAGATGAGAGGACGAGCGGATTTTCCAAGCCCTGGTCATTATAGTAGACCGATCACTTGCTGCACAAGTCGGCATGAATACATCCGTGACCTGTCACAATACAGAGTCCTTGCAGGTCTGAACGCTGGCCATACACCTAGATATTATCTGCAGAAGTGCAACAGATTCCTTCATCTTCGGTAAACTGTGTGGATGGAGGGATCTCCCACGGGGCCAAGCTTCAGTACCTTACTGGTCGGCCCCGCTGGCTCTCAAAACACCTGAACAACCTGATTGGATGCAAGCATTGTTCAAATGTTTTGTGAGAGACCCAGCGGGGCCGACTAGCAACATACTGAAGCTTGGCTCAGCGGGAGATCCCTCCATCCACACAGTTTAGGGTAGATGGAGGAATCTGTTGCACTTCTACAGATGATCTCTAGGTGTATGGCCAGCTTTAGTGTAGCATTATAGGAAATGCCATACGTCTGATGACGGTGGGAAGAAGCATTTCCTTTACCTTCTCTCCCTTAGTGACCTCACAGGTCAATGCAGTGCTCTGGCATTTCAGGAAGTGAAGTGCAGCAGGAGTACTGAGGTGTATGAGACTGTGATGGATTTTTACAGTGATAGGTAGCAGAGTGAGAGGCCGCAGATGCGACTGTACTCAATTATTGTGATGGACTTTTATATTGCATGGTCATAGAGCAATAGGCAGCACAGGAGCTGAGCTTTGTGGGTGTGGTGGATTAATACACTAGCTGGCTATGGAGTGAGAGGCAGCACAGGGGCTGAGCTTTGTGAGTGTGATGTAGATATACACTTCCTGGTCATAGAGTGAGAGGCAGCACAGGGGCTGAGCTGTGTGATTGTAATGGATTAATACACTGCATGGTCATATAGTGAGAGGCAACACAGGTGTGAAGCTGTGTGAAAGTGATGGATTAATACACTGCCTGGTCATAGAGTCAGAGGTAGCACTTAAAATGTTTACATTTTTAGTATTCCTTTACATGTGTATAGTGAGTTTACACAATAAAACTCTGTACCTGTAGAGCAGACAGATAGGGACATCATCACACTCTCTCTCTTCATACAAGGTGTCTGGACAGGGATGACCCCCATTAAGTGGCTCCTGTATGACAATTCTGTATCGGGACTGTTTGACTGCAGAGCTGTTCCCTGAAATAAAATCATAAAGTATCACAAACATAATTCTGATTGTTTTTGGATATGGAGTAAAATTAAGTACATTTGTAGACTTAAACTAAACCTGTGCATGAATTGCAATGCATATTCCAGCTGCCCAACTGCATCAAATAAACTATCCTCATCTCTACATGGATAGTTTAGACTTTAGAGCAAGGCGGCAGGTCTTTGCATCTAACCCTTCTGTAAGAAGTATTTGCGCATTCCGCAAGGGCAACAGCTACTCTGTGGTTCAGTTATGCCAAAGTTCTAGCAAATCTGGTCTGTCAAGCTGCTAGCTGGACTTCTCCTAACACCTTCATCTGCCATTACCAGCTTGACCCTTCTTCGTCTTTACTTCCATTCTCTCTGGAGCTCTGAATCAATACGCACAGTTGTTATTTTCTTTTCTAGAATGCCAGTGCATTGTGCAATTTCCTAACGCTCTTTTTTTCCTTGCTAGCTACTTCCCATTGTAGGCCAACAAAATGAGTTGAAGGAATACTGAAAATTGTTGTCCATAGTCCATCATGTCAGCCTAGGTTTGCTTCCTGAATCCCTGGTGTCCCATTGCAAGGTCCAGGAACGCTTTGGGGAGGGCCTCTCAAATTTGTATTTTCAGGGGGTTTTCCTGGTAGAGCTGACCCATAGTAGGCTGACCAGGGAAGGACAATTACAGTGAGTATAATGGACCACAATGTCCCATATTATTGATGTGTTTGTCAGCTACTTGAAATTTAGCTCGGGCATTTTTTCTATATTACAGAAATAACACTAATGCTGTAAATAAGGAATGTAGAGGAAGTAGACACTGCTCTTGGTTATTACACTAATGCTTTTAATGCATTTTGGAGGTCAGAGCCTTCCTACCCTACCCAGTTATTTAATAGAATATCATTTTTGCCGAGGACTAATCACTGTTATTTTCGGACCTTGCACTCAACATAATATAAGCACACTACATCGCCTTCTGGAGGCAGCAAAACAATTTAGATGCCATAAAATCATAATGCAAGAACAAAGGAGTTGGCGTAGTTAAAAAAACAACTATTAGAGATGTTTCAGCTCCCTCAGTGCTCAGAACCGGTTCAGCCATAAGACCTCCTAATTGTCTCCTACGCAGTGACTTATAACTCACTTCTAAATATGCTTTGATAAAGATATCATGCCGCACCTTTCCTGATTTTGTGGCTCGGTGACAACAGAGTATCTCGTAATTTAGTCAGCGTCCTGCAGATCAATAAAGTCTCACAGTCTAATGGATGAACTAATTTTTTTATTAAAAACGTTATTATCGCGTTTGTTTCCTTTATATTCAGCATGGAAAAGAATACAAACCAAACAGCTGCTGTTTTTTTTTTGGTTTCTTCACCTTTTCATCTATCAGATTATTTTCAGCAGAGCTGTTTACCCAGGTAGTGTGGTTTCCCTTGCCAAGACAACGATTTTTCCCCTTAAACATTTCCTTCCATAATTCTGCAGATATTCTTTTATCTTTTGTTTTGCTGCAAATACTAGCATCACAGATGTTTCACATTTCATCGGAGAAGACCATCAAGCAGCCTTTCCTTTCATTAGTTCTCTAAAGCTCATCCAGTACAGTCGGAGGGAGCCGGGGGGGATCTCCGCTGTAGTTTCAGGTTCACCGCACACTCACCCCAGCCATTGTTCATTTTAGCTATGTGCTAAATCTACCGTTTATCACCTCAACAGTAAGCATAAAATATAAAAAAACAAAGGCAATTGTTATTTAGCAGGAGACGTTTTGTTGTACTGGAGGGATGGGAAAACGATACAGCCTGGAGCATTTTGTGAGGTTCAAAAAGTGGCTCCAGCTAAAAGGTGAAATCAGGGAAAAGCAGGAAATGCTGCAATTGTGCTAAAATTATAAAGCTCCTTCGCTGCTAAGAAGCATAGGCATGGCAAATAAACTATTCCAAGTGGGCTTCACCCAATAATGACTCAAGGCAAAATATGGTGCAGTGGGCAAGACCACAGCTTTATTGGGCTAATAGACCACATATTTATCACTTCATACCAGCAAATAATGACATTAACATTTTGAGCAAAACTGCGAGCACTGAACTGCACCTAAAGGGTGCATTCATATCAAAATCGGAAGGAAATTGCAAGAGGGTCCATATTAGGAGCATGTCAAATGCTCCTATCACTGTAGCAACCACTCAGCTCCATCTAGTGGTTGCCTCTTGTAACTGCACCTACCACAGTCCAGTCAGCTGCAGGCTGATCAGGCTAATCAGTCTGACTACACCACACTTTCACCAAGCTTTACTGACCCTGCCTGTGGATAACATCACTTCAGTAGGTTGTCATACTATACATACAGACTAGTCTCGGGAGGTATGTTCAAGTACATAAATCTGCGGTTGAGACAGAACATCCTGAATTCTCCTTGTACTTTGTAAAGTGGCCCATAATTTGTATATATCAGGTTTGCAGTCCGTAGTGAAATCATTCTGTGAAGTGCAATCCAAGAACCAAAGAGGATGGTGCTCAGAACCAGAAAATTCTGCATTTCACAGGATCAAATTCAGAGCCCACCTCGACCCAGAAAATAGGGATAGCAGCAACCACAGGAGTTAAGTAATCGGGACAGCTAGCCCCACAAGGTAAAGGTCAGGACAAAACTTAGACCTTGTCAGCGTGTAGGTCGTATTCACTGACCGACTTTACATGAAACATTTTATTGACTAACTGGAGTAAAGTTTCAATGGCTATTTGGAATCATATTTAGGCTTAAATGCTTTTCTGCCTGCAAAAAATGATGAACTGGTGTTACGTGTACACTTACCAGGCTGGCAGGTTTTAGGGCAGGGAGTCCACTCACTAAACAGGGTGACAACACAGTCTCTAGTGCAGGGAAGAGGGCATGGCTGGCTGGTGTCAGGTTTGGTAGATTCTGGGCACCTGAAATTTAAAACACAAATTGTTAGTGGTAGACACAGACCATAGCGGGTACGTCATGTAGAACAATTTTTTAATACCCTCTGCAACATACATCACTGTTGCCTGAATCATGTACACAGTAGATGTAGGAAGTGAAGCACTTTACCAATTAATACAGTCTAGACACAACTTTATTCCATTAGGATCAAAGGCTACTCTGCTTCCTTTGGATTGCGGAACTTGCCTATATGTTGCCAGGTTACACATATTCATATCACTAAACTACGGTTGGATGAGAAGCACCAATAAAATAACCACATAAGTCAAGCGTTTTCTTTCCACGCTTCCAAATACCATGCCTGACACAAGTATACCTTCTTGCTAAGTCCTGGACAACTTCAATGTCCTCCAGGAGAAAACCTGGGACTATAACTGCATATGAAAGAACATCCTCAGAATACCTTCCTACCTGGCCTCTGCTCCAGCCAACCCCACACTTGCTAACTATTAATTAAAACAAAAATCTTTTTTTTACATCATTGGCATCTTCACTTTCTTCCTACAGTGTCATCATGAGACTGCCACTGTGCCCTCTGAAAAGTTATGCATATGGCTGCTCAACAGAGCATGAAGCTTTCCTTCCTTTTCTCTTGGAAGGTCAATCTGTTCAAATTGCACCTCTATATTACCCCTAGTGCTTTGTGCCTTCTAAGCATTAGTGCATTGGGCAAATTGCCAATCTAGGATTAAAATAGAACGATTTTGCTCTTTTTCCTTGCAAACTGAAAGGTGCAATCCCACAAACGTAAGTAATTTCTCTCGATTTCTTGTGTTCTTACGATGCAATTTGATAATACCACAACTTAACCCAGGACCTCAGCACAATGCCAATCTACATATACAGTATTAGCATCAGATGACTCTACTCATCTGGGTCCACATCTTGGAGTAATCATGTCCCCACGTGTACACTGGCCATAGGTTTAGGCCTTAAACCAGTTGCAGTGGTCAACAATTTGGGTCTGAACTATGGCTTCCTGTGACCCTTGACCACAGCTTCTAAAACTCCCAGGAGAGCAAAAGAAAAAATGTATTCAAGTACCTTACCTATTAACAAAAATGTATCTTATTTGTGTATCACTCGGCTGTAGATCCTCAAATCTCTGAATTGGTGCTGACACTGTCCTTCCTTCTGGAGGGGGGCTACTTTTGTTCCCCATGGCTCCTGTGTGTGTTGTAAAGTAGTCACCGCTCCAAGCTCACTCCCGTGATGGACTAAAATGTCATGTTTAGTTTACTAATTTGTATTGAGATTTTAGTCCATCACAGGAGAGAGCTTGGAGCGGTGACTACTTTACAACACACACAGGGACCATGGGGAACAAAAGTAGCCACCCTCCAGAAGGAAGGACAGTGTCAACACCAATTCAGAGATGATTTGAGGATCTACAGCCGAGTGATACACAAATAAGATACATTTTTGTTAATAGTTAAGGTAGTTAATGCATTTTAACTCGTGAATTTAACTTTAACTGTGCCAACAGGTTTTGTCTGAAGCTATGGATAGCAACTCTCTTTTATTATCTCAGCGCAGTATGGGAAAACTGAATGGAAAAAAAATGAGTTGCCAAGGACAATAATAACTGTTCTCCTTTTAGACACACGAAGGACTGTGAATTTTTGTGTTGTTTTTGCATTTTATGCATATTGGTAATAATAAAATAGCATTATAAAATAGCATTTTACGCTATTGTTGCTGGAAATATGTCTATGCTTGTGGTTCACATAGTATGAAATAATACCTCTTGCTTGCTACTTGTCCAGCGTTGCTTTTCATGCAGAATACTTTGCGGGATTGAAGTCCAATGCCACACTTGTCCTTCTTGCTGAGGCTTTTGTTTTGTATCCATGATTCCCCTGTACACGGTTCCCATGGTGACAGCTCCCAGTAGAATGCAGAGCATGGATGATCGTTGCACGGTCGGTACTCATAGAGTGCTTGGCTTGATGGGCAAGATTTCCCGTCTGTAAAACAGGACAAGGTGTTATATGTTAGATTGGACTAATCGCCCATATTCCATTTATGATTCAGACTACGATTAGATTTTTCTTTTTAAAGGAGTTACTCTATACAGAGAAAGATATGTATATGACGTTGCTGTCATCGCACACCTCAATACAAAAAGTGTGGATCTGTGACGCTGGATCTTGAATTATTATATTCAAATATCAGTTAAAGGAGAACTATGAGGGGAGTGATTTTCACTGATTCTCATAGTTTGAGCCGACGTGTGACATTGAAACTGTCAGATGTTGGCTCTATAGATCGGGAAGAGAGCGAACACATACCGTCACCCGCTCACTTCTCGATCATCTCCCTGCAGAGAGAGGTGACTGTCAGTCACGGCTCACTGCAGGGATTTCCCCCTCCCCTCTCCAATCTTCCAGCGCTGACTGGAGGAACAGATGGGGAGGGGGCGGGTACAGCTAGCTCAGCCTCTAGATAGGCAGAGCCCGCTGTCACTCACGCAGCTGGGGGGATCTTGACAGTAATGTCGGGATCCATCTCGGCTGCGACGGTCTCAGTATACCGGGAGCTGTAGCTCGTGGTATACTGAGCTTTGGGTCACGGGAGGAGGTTAGTATGTGTCCTCCCATGACACTTAAGAGAACTATGGGAAAAACACTTACCCCATAGTTCTCTTTTAACTGCACCTGACTAATAGAGCTCAGATGCTCTGGTTAGGCAGCTATCATCTTCCAGGGGCCCTCTAGGGCACCCTGGGTGGAAACTAAGGCAGCCACCACATCTAAGGACTGGTAAGGTGGAATATAATAAATAAATGATCTTGGGTTTAGATATACTTTACTAATAAAAATGCTCATGATATACATTTTATGTGTATTGTCTTTATTGTACATTTTCAAATGCTAGAAATAGACAGGGAGGGCTGACATTTCACTCTCAGGGATGGATCCTTAGCCAGGTTGTGGGATGTGAACAGTAAATTGGGTGCCAGTCACTTTAGGTACCTTTTTAATGCTATAATGTAGAACAGCCAAAAATAAGAGAGAGGGTAAAGGGCTACAGACATCCATAGACAAAATAGACTCCAGACTCACCAGTCCCTTCCAGCTTCCACAGTGCAGGACGACTTGTTGAGTCTAGTTGAGCAGAGGATGAAACGGTGTAATAAAGCCATAGCTGGACAGAAGACATACTTGAGATCTTCCCTGGGAGAGGCGCCTGGGCTCCAGCTAAGCCCCCTGACATCATCACATCTAAAGCAGGTCCATTCATCTGCATTAGATGTGAGGAATGCCGAGGGACATACCACAACCATGGGGGTATGGAGGGGAAGAGAGCTGACTGCCACAGGACTGAGAATCAGGTGCGTATATTTTCTGTATTCAGGCCCCTAGACCAAAATGAGCAGTTAACCCTTGCAATGCGGGGTTAGCCCCCCTGCAAAGGTTGACTGTAATAGCTGGAGTTCCTCTTTAAGTAGTACCATTTTCATATAGTTCTTTACAGCATTACAGGTCACTTTTGGAGGAAAGGCACACAGAGAAATTTGGAACAGTGACTGGACCTCCAAAGACCAGCTCTAGTGGGTTATTAAAGCCGAATTGCTTGCCAAGGTTTACTGCACCTTGCAGTTCGGTGTATTACTAAAAATGCTCATACGCATAAGCTTGCTTACCTTCTCCAGGATAGGCCAGGATTGATCTGGTCCTGCTCTGCTTCCCCTCGGCATTCTTTGTGGAACAGGAACGGGAACACGGCGACCAGTCTGACCACTCGCTAATGACGCAGTCCAGGCTGCAGGGAACTTTACACACCAGCTGGACAGGAGGCTCATCCACACACAGCTCTGCAGAGACCGGCTCCCCTATTGCACACAAAACAATAAGATTGTTGAACGGGAAACTTATTTTCAATATTTTTATTTTTCATGTTTAAAAAAAGTAATAATTGATGAGCCTGCCATGAAGGTTTTTGTTCAGGCATTTCCTCGAATCCTGCTATAGGGTGACAACACTCTGTCCCTGTCTCCCAATTGTTTTTTTTTTTGTGTTGTCAGCCTGGCATAAGAAATCATGGCACTCAAATGGTTGAACAATCTAAAGCAAATGGAAAGCAAACCTTTGCTAAAATAAAGCAGTTAAAAGATACATTAGGAACTTCCAGGACACAGTATAACTTAACATGATAAGGTCTGACATCACCACTCCATCACCACTAAGTTCCACCCTAAATGTAATTATGAATACTTTATTGAAATAATTTTTTAAATGCAAAAAGTATAAGTGCCTGAATGTGACCTGGTATCAGCCTCTTGCAGTCCCTGCGTGTGAGAGGAAGATCAGCACAAGGAGCCAATCAGGAGCCAATCACTTAATGGGCTGACATGGAGGATGCGGAGTGAGAGAGCAGCATGACTGAGAGATGAGCTCATTACTGTGGTGCTTCTCCTTTCACTGTCCAGTCACTGGAAGTTGGTCTGAAGCAATTTGGTCTTAAAGGAAGTGGGTTGAATGATGCTGCCCATCAGACTGAGGACATCTAGTGACCAAAAAAGGACTGACGGGGAAATCCGTATTGAAGGTGAATATTGTAGCAAAAGCTACAATCTTTTAAACAGGCTATTCATTTGTATCTTATTTATGGCTAGAGTTCTGCTTTAAGAAACTGTGTTATACAAGTGAAAGAAAAGAAGTAACATGGATTACACACCACAATGTAAAATCTCTGATGAGGAACTGGATTGTGGTCCCTCATAGGAGGGGCTAAAAAAAAGTCTGAGAGACTACTACTAATAGTTACGCGTTGATTTCACTTGTCGCCTGGAACTGCCCTTTACAGAATTTCTACCATTATATAGTTTTATTCTTTAAATATATATTTTATTTTATTTTTTAATCAGATAATTTTTATTACGTTTTCTTTTAACAATCATTATGAAAAAAAATATAAAACAAAACAAGAAAAAAGAAGGAAAAAAACCAAAGAAAACATCCACCATATGCACATATCAAAACATACATAAGGGAACTTAAAATCCAATCACCTAAGCACATATTAGCATTTACATCACACCTGTCAAAAACAAAGAGGAACATAGAGACTTGGAACTAGAATACACAAATTACATCTTAAGCTCAACATATACGTCACTGATATGTCTAAATGGTAACAATATGTATAAATTCAAGAATATTTTTAAAGGAGAACTATGGGGTCAGGGCTTTTCCCCATAGTTCTCCTTAGGGTAACGGGAGGACACAAACTAGCGTCCTCCCGTCACCCTAGGCTCAGTATACCGCGAGCTACAGCTCGCGGTATACTGAGACGCCGCAGCTGAAGTGGATCCCGACAATTATGTCTGGATCCGCCCAGCTGCGTGAGTGACAGCTGGCTCTGCCTATCTAGAGACAGAGCCAGCTGTACCCGCCCCCCTCCCCGGTCTGTTCTGCCTGTCAGCGCTGGAGGATCAGAGTGGGGAGGGTGGATTCCAGCCGGTATGTGTTCGCTCACTTCCCGATCTACTGAGCTGACCTGTGACAGTTTAATTGTTACAGGTCGTCTAGAACTATGAGGTGAGTGAAAAGCACTCACCTCATAGTTCTCCTTTAATGTGTACGGTACAGTAGCCATCTGGACCAAAGTAAAGAGAATGTATTGCCTCCAATTCCTCTATATTGATAAGTGATGCGTTCAAACATTAGAATCTGGTCTAACTCAGAGATCCATTCAGATATAGTGGGAGGGGAGGCGGCCATCCATTTCCTTGCCACTAGACGTCTAGCGGTAAACAGGGCCCTATGTATAGCCACCTTGGTGTACGATACCATCAAGGGATTTTCAAAGATTGCAAGTATGCATACTCTGGGTGTGTTATCTAACAATATACCAAAAACAGAATGAATAACCGCAAGTACTGCTCCCCAATAGTGAACCATTTTATTTACAAACGTTTGTATTCTTATCCAATTATTATTTTTATTATTTTTTTATTCTTATTCTTCTATAAAATGTTTAACATATGTTATTGTTTCCTTTACTTCTACTATTATATATATTTTTATTCTACTAATAAATATATACAGTACTGTATATATATA